CTCTCCTGCCATTCCAGGGTTCGTCCTTTCGAACATATGTGACACCTACCAGGCCTTCGAAGCTCCTGTAAGAGTTGGGCCTTCAAGCTGGGGAGGTATTTCACTCATAAAAATAGGAAGATCAGAAAGTGCTGTAGGCTCAGCCATGCAGCCATGACACTGTGGTTTGGTGGTTTTTGTCAGGGCTCAGGCTCCAGTTCTCTCACTGTGCATATCGAGCACAGTAATACACAGCAGTGTCTTCAGATGTTGGGTTGCTCATCTGTAAATAAGCCATGCTGTTGGAATTGTCCCTGGTGAATGTCATTTTTCCCTTGACAGCATCTGCATAGCCAGTGCTGTATCTGCTAGTAATGTATCCCAACCACTCAAATCCCTTCACAGGAGACTGTCGGATCCAGTTTATGTTGTAATCAGTATAAGTATATCCTGAGGCTTTACAAGATATTTTGAACGATTCTCCTGGCTTTTTTATTTCTGGGCCTGACTGGGTAAACACCACATCAGAGCGAACATCTAAAACCGAACAAAGAACAAGCTGGTATTAGGATCACATTTCTCCAAAATACAAATCAGTTAGTTTAAGGAAAATAAATAAATAAATAAATAAATCCAAGTTCAACTGAGAAATGTCTCTGACTTACACTTTAGAAAGAACACTGACAGTAAGAGCACTGGAAGGATCCTCATTTTCAGCAACTCAGTGGACGAGTTCAGAATTGCTCCTGTGCTGGGAAGATCCAGACCTAGTGTGCCTGAGTGAGCTCATCACCGCACAGATATAAAACAGGATGAGAGCTCTGTAGTTTGCATACACCTACCGAGGAGGAGGTCCTTGCAAATAGAAAGTCGGCCTTTAGGTCATGTTGCAATGTTCCTAGAAGACAATTAATGAAGATTTCTGGATGGATTTCATCCGATCTTGTCTTGCCCCATTTCTTTATTCAGTCGATGAGGAGAAACAGTTGCTCTGTCTGAGGGCCTGGCTACAGTGCAAATAATATATTATCACACTGTATGTCTTTAATAATATCAATCTTGTGAAGAAATATTTATAATATTACTAATGTGAACAGTTCAGCCCATAGTTAGACAAATGAAGGTACAAATCCATTTTAAGAACCAATGAAATAAAACCATACAGACGGGCTGGTATTGTGTCACTGAAGTCAAGAGAGCATTGGACCTGGAATGGAGGACAAGGTTCTCCAGGATGTTTAGAAGATCTTATTAAAGCCCAGAACAAACAGGTACTGAAGACCATGAGCAGCAACCGGACCAGGATTGTGCAGATTTATGTCCCTGTAGTAACCAATGAACGTCAAGTCACACCACTGCACTGAAGATCTTCCTAGAGATTGTCTGCTCTTTCTCTGTTCTCCACAACCTGCTGTTAAAGGACATTTTTATGATACATCATTATTTAACACTTTGTTTAGATTTGATCATTTATATTCAAGTTGTGCTAATTTTAATTAACTGTTGACACAGTTGCTTCTCTGCCAAGGACTCTGCTGTGGCACATGAGGTCTATAACATTGAGACCTACTGCAGGTTACAGATTTTCTGCAGCAAATTTCCTCTATTCTCCAGTGAAAGTGACTGATGGTCTCTGTTTCACTTCTCCACTGGCCCCTGTATGGCAGTTTAACAGCTACCCGAGCCTGCGACCACAAACTCTCTCTCAGGGGTAAAGTGGTTTCTGCAGAGAGGAGCTCAGATATTCAGGAAGAGATGATTAGTTTACCATGTCAGGCTGGGATACTAGCACAAGATGACATCATACCAGATTCTCTGTCTAGACAAATGTCAGATGGGCTGACTAACATTAGACGTGAGGCTGAGAATAAGTCTTTGGATAGTATCAGATGATTTTCTTGGAAGAGCCTTGATAAAAAACACTATTGTTTACGGTTTTGATTGAATCATTCAGTCATATTTAACCATTCCAATGGTGTGTGTTCTCTGAAACAAATTGCTCCTGGGGATACTATTAAAGGCTCTCTCTGTTCTGAACAACAATTTTAAAAGAAGGAACAAGGAATAGGTTTATTCCATGCTGAAAAGAGAAGAGAGAAAATACAATGTTTCGGCTGTGGAGCCTTCTTCAGGTTCTTCGAGTTCTTCACACTCGA